CTACCTTGGGTGAGCTAAGTAAAAATGTCGGGAAGGCAATTTTGCTTATATATAACTATCTAAAGCCTGCTCTGACCGTAATCCAAGATGACCATAACCCTAAAGTTAATTCGATAAAATATATATTATAATAATCTCCTCCGCTTTAGACGTCCCTAAATTGGATAATTTTCGGGTCGGGTTGACGTTCAACCCGAACCCGACCCGAAATTTTCGGGTCAGAAATTTCTAACCCCGATTCGGAGCACTAGTTACGATAGTGCTCACGCCATCAAAAATGCGTGAAACTCGCAGCAGGCTGAATTTTTTTGATTCTCAAAAATTTGAAAATGTAATTTTTAGCCAAATTATAAATTTGAAGACATTAGCTTAAATTAGGTTAATGCGGATCTAGATACATCACAGAATTTTTTATAGTTATAGCCGAAAGTTATTTATCTGTCAACTCATTTTCCCGACATCATAATACCGACATGCTAATTTCATCTATAATATATTTTTTTGATACAGACATTTAATCGCACTGTAATTAGCAGCTCACTTCATAACAATTATTTCACCGAAAGCAAAATCCTAATATATGATATCAACTAAATAGTCTGTCGGCGGAATGATTGTCAATGAAGCAAAGGAATTGCATTTTTTTCTATTTTAAAATTCTTTTTTTCATGATAAATATTTCTGATATAAATATCATATAACGATAAATGATGCCAAGAGAAAATGAGACTTCAATTATATAAGTTTCAGATGATTGAACTCTGTTTTTCCTTGGCGTCGCTCATATATGCATTATATTGTCTTTTAAACTAACTTGATAACTTAACCAGATACTCTAAATATATTTGGAAAAAATACAGGTTTCTGTAAAGCTAATTTTGCCCAGAATATTGTTTGAAATTATATTTTAATTTGCCTAAAATTATATTTCACCTTTTGGCTAGAACTATCTTGATTTTTCCTAAACTATATTTAAATTTGTCTAAAATTATATTTTATTTTAATTTTGCTAGAATTGCATAAGTAGTGTACAAAAATTTGGTTTTATTAAATTACACATGTAAATTATTTATTTTTAAACACTAAAAAATATTTCATCAAGTATTTTTGTGGCATGTACAATAATTACTAAAAGAGCAACCGTTTTTAGAACGTAATACACTTAATTTCAACATTAATAACCTGTTACATCATGAACACTTTACACTAAATATCTTAATTAATCAATGATAATTACTAATTGACGCTTATGATAAATAACATACAAAAGCAATATTAATATTACGATGAATACAATAACACCGATAATAGACACAATAATAATAATAATATTTATGTCTGAGGTTTGAGCATTCTGTTTAGCAACTGGAAGCGGAGTGAATGTGTCAACCCACCTATATTGTACATTTGAAATGTTGAGAATTTTTATTGTGTTTTCTGTCGGATAATATTCATTAGAGTATCCACCTGGATAAATTCAAAATCAAATAAATCTACAACCCTGTAAGAAAAGTGGTACGGGTGGTGGCACGTGGTGGTTTCGGTAATGTTCGTAATGGTACGTTTTTTGTGGCAC